GCTAATAAGCCAGAAATGGCCATTCCAGTCTCCCTTGTCTTTGTCGGTAATACTATTCTGCCTATATATATATATATATATATATATATATATATATATATATATGCGTGAAGATTCGAGGTCCAGATATATTACCGTGTATATCATCCCCTGTGGAAGACGAGGAAGAGAAATTTATTTCATGGACCAGGTTGTATTCAGACTGACATTTCGGAAACACACTCGTCTCCATTTTCAGAGTCGTACGCTGAGGTTTCCTGCTGGCCTTGATCTGTTCAGCCTTGCCGCCTGCCTCGTATTATAACCGTGCACAGCGCACGTTTGTTGACTAGCCTGCTTTCCGTTGGCTGATTGTCGCCTCCCTGATCTCAGCCATTGGCGGACTGGCGTGGCTTGTGTCCCCCTCACGCCTAACGTGGTTGCCGCTGCGTCGGCGTGCTCGTTCGCCTCCCCCTCGTCAGACGGCGGGCTGATCGATCTTTGTTCTTCAGGCCTGGTGTTTCCGGCCTCGAGAGTACATCCGTGAGACGGTGTGCCACGCCGGTCACGTGACATTCAGTCAGCGCCTTCTCCTCTCTCCGCGAGCGTCGGTGGTCGACCCCGTGTGACTCTTGTCATCCGTGCCATCGGCCCTGCCCGGACTGACTCGAGTCTTGCGCGGAGCGCCTGGTAGGCTGGATGTAGATCTATGGCCCGGTTGAGTGTGCCAGTCGAGGACCAACTTTCCAGCTTTAGTCTGGCCATTTTATCATTGGCTCGGCCGATCACACTCGCTTTCTCGAAGGCAAAACAGTGATTCCGCTCTAGTGTATGGCCATACACCAACGACAGCTTATCCTTGCGGTTGATTGCTAGCTGGTGCTCGTGCAATCTTGTGCCGAGGCGTTTTCCCGTTTCACCAACATACCTGGCATCACAATCTTGGCATGGTATGCTGTAGACCACCGCTGATTGTTCTGTCATCGGGAGCGGGTCTTTGGGCCTCATGATTTGCTGTCTGATTGTTGATGCTGGTTTATGGGCCACACCAATTCCAAAAGGTTTCAGAATTCTTGAAGTTTCCTCTGAAACGTTCTTCACATAGGGGATCGAGAGCCTGAGCTTTGGTTTCTCCTCGTTCGACCGCCCCGAGTGGGACTTCCTGAGACACTTGAGTATGAACGACTTCGGGAATCGTTGGCTTCAAATAGGGCACGTAAGTACTTCACCTCCTTCTTCCTGTCATCGTCGTCGCTGCAGTGTGTTTGGGCGCGTTGGAAAAGGGTCCTGACACAACTGCGTTTGTGACCGACGGGGTGGTTGCTTCTGAAGTGGAGGATGCGCCTAGTGTTAGTTGCCTTACGGTAGACCGTCGTCTTTATATTCCCGTCTGCCAGTTTTGTAACTTGTACGTCTAGGAAGGGCCAGCGATTGTCGGCCTCTTCTTCCATGATGAACTGTATGTTGGGAAATATCAAATTCAAGAGTGCCTTGAAATCTTGCTCGTCGTTCCTCTTTATTATGACGAATGTGTCGTCGACATATCTGGCCCAGAACTTCGGAGGGTACGAGCTGAATACCAGACGCTCCAGCCTCTGCGAAACCGCTTCGGCAATTAGTCCAGACAGAGGTGAACCCATTGGAGTTCCCTTTTTTTGCTCGAACACTTGGCCGTCAAATGTGAAGAAAGTCTTAATACACAGTTCTAGGAGCTCGATGATGTGCACTCGTTTAAACTGTTGATCGGTCTCGTCGTATTTTTCTCGGAGAAGTCCGTCGAGAGTGTCGATGGTTAGGTCGGGCGGGCCAGTCGACTTTGACCGCGTTCGAGCTGGAAACCTTGAGGGCGGCAATCCTCAATGGGGCGGCGATCCCACTGGCGTCCCCTTGACCTGCTCGTAGGTCGTACCTTCGAAGGTAAAGTAGGTCTTCAGGCAGAATCTCAGCAATTGGACGAGATGTCTCCGTTTGATCGTCACGCCCGTCTCGTCGTACTGACTCTCGAGCAGCTCGCTGACCGTTTCGACTGCCAGGTTTTGCGGAATCGAAGTGAAAAGAGAAGTGACGTCGAATGACACCATGAACTCGTCTTCGGTAAGTCTCATCCCTTTGATCCGCTCGGGGAACTGAGTCGCTGAACAGACCGTCGAGGTGAGAGACCTCAGGATTCGAAACATCCATTTAGCCAAATTGAATGTAGGTGTGCCGCGCAATGATACGATTGGCCGGAGGAGCACCACGGCATTGTGTACCTTTGGCAATCCGTAAAAGCGTGGTGCGGCCGCGTCTACTGGCTTAATGGCCAGTCGGGCTTCATCGCAGAGGCAGTTCTCCAAAAAGAAGAGACCCTAGTTTTCGCAGCCTACAAGCCGAAATTTTGGACTCGATATGTTGATGATACATTCGTTATCATTAAGCGGCAAAAGGCCCAATAATTCCATGACGTCCTGAACTCTGTTTTCCCTGACATCCAGTTCACAATGGAGGCGGAAGCCAACAACTAACTGCCGTTCCTGGACGTTCTCGTCCATCGAAAACCAAATGGGCACTTAAAAACGACGGTATATAGGAAGGCCACTAATACGCGCCAAATCCCGAGCTTCCACAGTAAGCACCCGTTAGGCCGCAAACGCAGTTGTGTGCGAACACTCTAAAGAAGGGCAGAAACGCACTGCAGCGAGCCGGACGACAGAAAGTCAGAACTACGCTACCTCCAGCGCCTCTTCATGGCCAACGGGTATCCTCGCAACTTCATCGAACGCGGCAGACAGGCCGGACCGAGCCGACGTTTGGTGACAGAACGACCAACAATGTGGCGGGCGCTTCCATACATCGATGGCGTTTCTGAGGCGGTCTCCCGCCTCTTAAGACCGCTGGGGATTGGCATCGCCCACCGACCGGAGTCATCAATTCGACATCTGGTCATGAGACCTAACGCCCCTCTGCCACAAGGTGAAACAACGAACGTCATCTATCGGACCCAGTGTAACTCCTGTGAAGCCAACTACATTGGGAAGACGGGCAAACGACTACAGACCCGTGTTGGAAAACACATGAGGGCAGTAAGGCGAATGGACCCTTTGTCTCTGGTGGCCGAACACTGCGCCGATTCCGGACACACGTTCGCTTTTCAACATGTCAAAATTCTGGGCCGAGGAAGCGACCGCATCGCCAGGGAAACAATGGAGGCTTGGCACACGGGGACAACCTCCATCAACCGTTGCGTGGCTCTTCCCGCTGCCTATCAAGCCCTTCGAGCGCAGCTCAGTAAACAAATGAGCAGACGTGAACCCAGGCTAAACATGAATCCAGATATGAGCGAGTCCATGGCGGATGCACACTCAGTCACCCCTCGACCTGGTTCCGACGAAGGCGCAGTCGTCACCACAGCCGTTCCATCTACTAGTCCGGCGGACGAGAAAACGGACAGTCATTGCGGCGTAAACAAGATTGCCAGCCTTGGACGACAGTTAAAGTCAATGAAGGTACGGACGACGGACGTCTCAACGCCGGCCCCCAATGTAGACTGAGTACTTCCCGTCACCCTCCCTCCCACTCCGTCCGCCACAGTCCTTATGTGCAGGCGCTGGTGACCACTAAAGCAAAACCACCGCCCCCCCCCTTCATCCGGCGAGAAGACGCTCTAGGACTCCCTCCCGCCCCTTCCTCCCTGCCGCCCTGACTTCGAATGTAAGAAAAAAAAGCCGTCTTGACGTGACTGTCACCCACCTATAAATACTGTGAGGCGCGACACAACACTCAACTCCGACGATGGAAGTTTGTATGCTTTTGAAACTTCAGGACAGTAAAACTATGGTTCCCGAGATCGCCTTTTCTTCTGATGTATATATATATATCGATATGCCTAAAGATTCGAGGTCCAGACATTGTATCGCGTTCATCATCTCCCGAAGAAGACGAAGAAGAAGAAGAGAGGGCGAATCCATGGTCCATATTGTATTCGAACTGACGTTTCGGAAACTTCCTCGTTTCCATCATCAGAGTAGCGTAATTGTTTCACTTGCGGGTCTTGAGTTATTCAGTCTTGCCGCTTGCCTCGTATTATAGCCGTGCTGGACGCACGAACTTTGACCTGCCTGTTTGCCGCTGACTGGCTTAGACCTAACCGGGGCTGACCGCTGATAGGCCTGCGTGACCATTGTTCCCTTTGGGGTCGGCTTAGTTGTGGTCAAATCAACGTGCCGCTTGGCCTCTCCCACGTCAGCCGGTGGACTGATCGGTCGTTGCTGTTCAGTAGAGCAGCATTCAGCTTCGCGGGCGCATCGGTGAGCCAGTGTTCGGCTTTGGTCACATGACCTCTGGCCCCCAATTCTGCTCTTTTCCGTGAGCGTTGACTCTTGGTCCCGCGTGCTCGCTTGCCTTACTGGTCCTGTCCGGACTGATCCGAACCTTGTACGCAGTGCTTGGTAGGCGGGATGTAGATCTATAGCTCGGTTGAGTGTACCAGTCGAGGACCAACTTTCGAGCACCAGTCTGGCCATCTTCTCATTGGCTCGACCAATTACCCTCGCTTTCTCAAAGGCAAAATTGTGGTTCAGTTCTCGTATGTGGCCATAGACCAAAGACAGCTTGTCCTTGCGGTTGATTGCAAGTTGGTGTTCGTGCAATCTTGTGCCGAGGCGTTTGCCCGTTTCACCAACATACCTTGCATTGCAATTTAGGCATGGTATGCTGTAGACCACCGCCGACTGTTCTGTTGTTGGTAGCGGGTCCTTGGGCTTCATGATTTGCTGTCTGGTGGTGCATTCTGGGTTATGAGCCACGCCAATCCCAAATGGTTTTAGGATTCTTGCCGTTGCCTCTGATACGTTCTTCACATAGGGTATTGAGAGCCAGAACTTGGGCTTTTCTCCACTCGACCGCTCAAAATGAGGCTTTTTGAGGCAATTGCGTATGAAGGACTTCGGGTAGCCGTTGGCTTTAAAAAGGCCTTGTAAGTAATTCATCTCCGCCTTCCTCCCACTGTCGTCGCTACAGTGTGTTTGAACACGTTGAAAGAGAGTTCTGACACAACTGCGTTTATGACCAACAGGGTGGTTGCTTCGGAAGCGGAGGATGCGCCTAGTATTTGTTGCCTTACGGTAAACCGTTGTCCTTATCTTCCCGTCTGTCAATCTCGTAACTTGTACGTCCGGGAAGGGCAACTGATTGTTTACTTCCTCTTCCATAGTATACTTAATGTCGGGGAAGATTGAGTTCAAAATTGTCTTGAAAGCCTTCACCTCGCTCCTCTTGATTACAACGAACGGACTTGTTGGGCAGTCATGTTGGGTGGTAACAGTTACTAAAAACGACTCACTAAGAGTCAACCTCATTTGTCAACATTACACACTGCTGCCATGGGTGGTTCCACGAAGATGTATAAAACACATCGTCTACACCCACGAAATCATCTTTAACCGGTGACCGAAAGCAGGTGAGGATGCTTGGCCTGTGCGTGTCTGCGCCGTCACATGTCGTCGTCTCTGAACTAAACCCAAACTCAGTCGCCACTGCAAAAAACGGGGTCATGCGGAGAGGGCGATCTGAATCTGTAGGGGAACCACGCGAACTCGAGGGCGTTATCGCGCTAAGCAGAATTCGTGTCTTATAACCTGCGATACGGTTGTTGTCTGAGACGAATGTGCCCTAAAGTGCGAGGGCAGCACTATCCTTACATTCGCGGAATGGCAGGTCGAACACGTGCCTGGTGAAATCGCAAAAAAGACACGGCGTAGTCTGACTGTCCGTGGCTTGTGGACATAAAAACTGGCCAAAATAACATGCAAGACGATCATCATCGTCCATTTGATCTCCTTTCCCACAGTTAGAAATGGGACGCTGCCCGATCTGACAGTCAGGACTGTGCGTTACATCTCAGAAAAATCAAGCCATGAGGAAGGGAGGCGAGTTCTGTATGCCAGTAAAATGTCACCGAAGATAGTGGATCTCACTACACCCATTGGTGTCGGCCTCTCCAAACTCTGACAATCGGAGTAGATGCGTCATGAGTACATTGCTGTCCGGAAGGCATTCCATGGTCATAGCTACCTGTCGTCACAGACGAATTTGTCATTAGAAATAACGTCGTGGGACGATTGCTTCCGCCTACCAATAGGCGTTAAAGATTGCCTCATGACCATGAAGCTGCCACTCTGTACGAGCAAATTCGCCAACGTCGCCAGCTGCCCCGCCACTCTTCAACCCTCCGACCAGGCCCTTTGTCGTGTAGAACAGGTTCTACGCAGAACCGCATGATCATCTAGTCACTGTACCGTAGGCGAACAAACTCGTCATTCTTGGTGCCGTCAATGCTCGCTGCCTGCGATGGGTTTACCAGGACGATCGCAGTCAGACCCAGTAGCGTTTTTGCCCTATTTCGGAATTTATTGGAGAGTGTTTTGTTTCATATATCTCCCATAGCTACTTGTTCCCTCCTTAATTGCATATGCATTTGCTATCTGCATATCAACACGGTTGTACGCAGACGACTACTGACTAACCTCCCATCTGGTTCACCGCATTTAAGTAGGAGAATAATGACCTTCATCTGCCTATCAGTCAGATTGGTCATAGGGTCAGTATATCTAAATGCATCTTACACGCAATCATTTATAGGAACTTTGATAAATTAAACTCTTTCTGCCACTCACATCACGGTGGATTAAAAGTATGTGTCTACTCTGCATATGAATTAGCGCAGTCCCCTACAAATAGCAGCAAATTACTTCACTGACTTGGCTTTGTTTTATTTGATACGCAAAATGCCCAAGTTTAGCGGCTTCGACTGAGTACTTATTCAGCATAGTCCCATGACTGAGAACTTGCTACGCGCAGGCAGATGCGTGAACTAAAGCAATATCAAGTTGCCATGCCGTGGTCTCTTGAGGCGAGCTGATGCCAACAAAGCTGTAGCGTTTCGACGTTCCCATTTACGAATTAAGGAACAGCACGATGATTTGTGGCAGCCGTATACGCGCGGCACACGGTATGGCTTCCACTTTATGCACGGAGTATCTTCAATGTCGTCCAGAATCGGACCTAGATGAGAATTTCATAGAGGAGGGAAGCTGCGATCGCAGTTGGTTTTGGTAAAAAACGATGTCCGATAACGAAAATCTACAAGAGGACGAGATTTGCATGGAAAAGACTTCGTGTGTTTGCATTCGAAGTGTAAAATAAGAGAATCTTTTGAAGTGGAAGGGTTATGCTGGCAAAGAAAATACGTGGGAACCCTAGAAAAACCTAGATTCCACAGATTTGATTAATGTATTTGAGGACCGAAGAGCTGCCGAACGGAACTCGAAACTAAAGAGTCATCTTCCATCAAGTAGTAAAAGGTCAAACATAACAACAAAAAGCGGACTCTTCCGACGATTAGCTAAAAGAGACTGACACTCCGAAGAGCCGCTCACGTGCCTCTCCGTATGGGACATCGACATCTGAGGATCGGGGCTCTAGCACACCAAAGGCACCAGCCAATGACGCAGCGAAATCAGCAAAGAAGAGGCAAACGATCTCAATTAAGTCAAACGAGAAGGAGGACTGTCAATTCATCACTCATGCACCGCCTGAGAAAAAGATAGAAAATACGGCTATTCTTGAAAAGCCTCCCCAGAGGACTACAGAAACGCCAGCGGCAGCATCTAATGGAAGAGGTTTTGATCGAGTGCTCAAAGCAGAACGCATAATCGAGACAAGCGAATCAGCCGTGAATTTAAGCAAGTAGAACTTATTAACCACGCCAGACAGAAAAAGGCGCACAGTGCAGAAAACGAGCAAAACTTTAACACATGCCTAATTAGGGTAGATGTGACAGCGTAGACCCTTCAAACGTGAGTGCTGACTGCAAAGTGTTCTCTGCATTCTCTGTGTGCCAGAATACACATCCGTGAGAGAGGGCAATGTGTCTTGATGGACCTTAAAAATCTAAGGGATATATCGTCAAATCAACGGTGGACTCTATTTGGGTAAATCGAAATTTGGAACAAATCCAAGGTAGCTAATGAAGAGTTTTTGTTGAGAACAGTTTTTTTGATCTAGTTCTAATCGCGTCCAAAATATCTCGATAATGAGGAAGGGGAAGTGATGGGTGTGAATTAATAAACGGCGTTATACTAAATGCTCAGCCATCCCTATTTGCTGTTCACGGTTTGCGGATTTTATCCTAAAGCACATATGAAATATTCGCTAAATGCCTTTATTTACGATCGTTATTAAATGTAACTTTGGATATTCAAAATTACCAAGGCAGTATTCAAAGGATCAGTTGGTGAGCATACGTTTGTTTTCGAAAAATCCTCGTCCGGCCGGTACATTTATATGGGAACGGGGCGATTAGTGATTAAGGTCCGTCTCAAAACAAGCGGGTGTCGAAATATGGCGGGCTGGTGGTGATAGCAGTCAATGCCATGGGGGTGGGGGTCGGAGCAGAAGCGATAGTCGATCTTTGACCACGGTATGCGCGGAGCCTCAACGCGGTTCTTCTGCGCGCACAAGATCTGCTTTCATAACTTGACGGCAACCGCAT